TAGCCTCCTCCATAATATTGCACCGACATATCAATTATTAAATCCTCCTAAAAGTGTTTGCTTTAAAATCTTTTTTTTACTAGCAGGATCAAATTACATCTGAAATGATGTCCTTATTTGACACGAAGTGTTAAGTCCAATGTGGCCATTGTTAAAAATAATAGGATATGAGGTGTGGCTGTGCCCACATGTCCTCTGTGTGCCGAAAAAGAGATAACGTAAACCATAGATACTAGTCCCACATGAGTGACAACAATGTGGTATGTCTACGTGCGGAGCAGACAGGCGTGATGTTATTTGATTGTTGGGAAATTTTAGAAGAATTCTTGATGTCCCTGATGCGGGTTTTATTGTTTTTAGCTATTGCCTATATGCCTTTTTTCGCTTTTTATGATTTTTTTTATTTGTTGTCCTTGATTTTAGATTTTGTATTATATAATGTGTTGCGTCTGAGTTGCTCCTTGTACAGATTGTTAAGCCCTATGAGGCAAATTTAAATTTTTTAATAAGGGCTATGCTAAATAATTTGATCTGTTAAGTAGCTGGCCAATTAATTTATAGCTTGGAACTAAGGAATGTATTTCTTTACCAGTTGTGAGAGGGTAGGTGGTATTATTTTCACCTTTTGTGTGTTTCTCATCGTGGCATAGTTTGGCTCTAGAGACACGCAGGACTTACTTCAGTTGCTGGTTTGAGATCTTAGATAAAATGTTATGTCTCTGGACTGATTTTGTCTCAGCCATAGTATTATTTTTGTTCAAGATACAGTCACAAAACATTTCAGATGTGTAGCTGAGATCAAAATGAAGGCTGATTTTAAATGGATGTGTCCATGAGACACGAATACTCATGCATGATGTATAACTCTACTCATTGTTTGCGGTGTTAACATGTTAACATGACTTCTGATTTTCCAGAGCAAGGTTTTCATAGCCTCCAGGAATTCATTACTATGCATTTATTTGTTAAAAACCTGACATGCACTACAGTTAGTTTCATGATTCATCAAAGTGTTTACAATACCTGCAATTTACAAACTCCCTGGTCAACACATCAAATCTGTTTTGTTTTAAACCAAAGGTCATTTATCAAATTAAAATTGGGGTTTTAACTTACAGCACAGATATGCTATTATTTTTTTTATTCCTCTTGTTCAAAGTTGAATCATATTCAGATAGTTTTTATCTTCAGCGCTACTCTGCTGTATTTTTGTATTGCCTTGTATGAGAGTTTGTTTGTATGTGTGAACCGATGCATTTGATCTCAACAAAAAATTCTCCAATTTCAAGTAAAGTAAAAAACAAAGCTTTTTTAGTTTCTTTTCATCATGAAATGATTTTTATCATAAGCCACTAGATGATGAAGATGTGAAAGAGTTATAAGAGTTATATCTAGTGAAAGGTTTTGACATATTTCTTTTTTTTGACTTTACAGTAAGCTGACATCAGAACATTTGTCTTGCAAACAGAGCTATTTTAGTTTTGTCTTGTCATTTTTTTGCAAATGAAAAACAAGTCAAATGTCAGGATGATGGGATCAATTTCAAGAAATAACTTATTTTCACACACTGAATTTTGATTTCATGTAGACATGCCTATGAGATGGATTAGCAGGCTTTGACAAACTTTCCAAAGATAAAACAGGAGTAAACAGAGTAAGAGAGAAGGTCAGTAAATTATTTAATGAATAAATACAATCAAATAATAGGATATTCCATCAAAACAATAAATAAAGCTACGTTTTGAGTACCATTCATAATACTACTTCAAGGACAGAATCTAAGTAGGGAAGCAAACTGTATAAAATGCAATGTTGACATGAAATGTAATAAAACATTGTTAAACAAAAATGTCAGCAGATAACCCTCACAAGATTCAGTAGCTCTTCACTCTTTCATTACTATAAAGAACAGAACAAAACAGAAATACAGAATAAATATGACTTTTAGTTTGTATTTGGTGTTGGTACAGTTTAATATAAGAATAAATATGTCTGCAGGCCCCTCTTCACCTCTGCTTGAGACTTGTGTCTCAATTACGCAATCATGAGAGACCATAAATGACAATGAAGTGGAATTAACTGCTGTGACAACACCTTTACACAAAGCAAACATGCTTCTTTAAGGCCTTATTCATTGCAGTGGCTTGCATAAGATAAAGTCTTTTTGTTGTTTTTCTGTCTCATGAGTCACTTTAAATGAACCGCATTTAGATGCATTATGTGCATTTGCTTGCCTCATCAATTTTTTTACAACCACTTTCCCAAGAATGTTTTGTTTCAATTATTTTCTAAATGAAAAATAGACTTTCGAATTTTGTTTTAAAATTAACATTTTCCCCACGTAACAAAGAAAAACCATAGTGAAAGAAGGGTTTTTGAGTTGTTATTTGTAGACACATTTAATTTTTCCAAAGAGTAAAAGTCT